CCCGAATGAATTGCATAAGCCCATTATTTAGTCCAGACAAGAAGTATATCCTTGCAAACAGAGATGGGTTTCCTGAGTAGCGCTGATATCGAACTCGCAGGAATCCAAAGCTGCTTCCGTCAAGGGATGAGACTCTTCATTCTGCACCATTTTTACTCTTTAAATCGAAATCTAACTTAATTGTTACGGCCATGTTTGCGTTCTGTAGAGCTGGAAGATTGTGTTATAATGTTTCTCTATTGATCCTGAACACGCATTACAAAAAGGGACAACCACCAGCACGACTCGATATCACTGATTCATATTCGTCCCTCATGCGGACACTTTTACGATGAGATTATCGTCTGCAACGTAGCGGTGCGTCAGCTTGCTTAGTAGATGGTTCACCTGCTGTACTCACTGGCCGTCTGGCCACATGGAAGTTTTTTAGGATGTTGATGACATCCTACGCAGCGCGACGCGGTGAGCGCAGTAATGTACCTCAGCTCGCCAAGAACATTTTGGCCTGCCGGAGATCACGTTTCTGAATTCAAAGCGCGTTCATCAGCGAGGCGAGCAAGGTTGCACGCCCAAAACTGGCTTTCGTCGCAGTCCGTATTTGAGTTTTTTCTTGAATGAATTCGCATACGTTCTTTACTATTATGGTATTGTATTGCAGTTGTCACCTGTTCCACTTCGAAAGGTAAGGGGATTGGTCGAGGAGTGCTAAATCTGGTGCTCAATTAGGTCAGAGTTAGTAGGACTACACAAGGAAAAATGAAGGGGTCACGTCCGAACCGCATTATCGGGTTGGTTAGATATAGTCAATGTCACTTGATAAGCTTACTACTCATGCCATTTCTATGAGCTTATAGGTAATTTTCAAAATAGGCCATTGCTCTAGAAACGTAGCCTTGCATGGGCGTGCAGTCAACAGTGCGGTAAGAAGAGTCTCATACTTCTGTACTACGTATTGGCCATTATATTATGTGATACTTGACATGAAATCCCAAAATAGCCAGATTTGACCATTCTGTTTGATAAAGAAATCAGCGATACAAGCAATCCAGCAAATGTTCAGAGTAGCGTGTCAATCTCATCTTAGTGGTTATGGCTTCAACGTTCTTCTATGTCGTTACTTATTCAGTTTTTGCAGGTTTCCTGCTAACGCTCCCTTTCTTATCGCGTGTGCCTGTGAGGTTTTTGTGTTGCACAAAATGATGAGAATTTTATAGTGCACTTTTATTCGGCTAACTGCGCGTTGTAACTGGTCTTCTACAAGTTACTCGCACAGATATGGGAATGAGGTTGGAGTCTGCAGAAGTTCAGGAGGTAATCTTCGCGTGATACACGAAAATTATTTTAAAAGATATGTCACTTTTCAGATTCTAAAACAGTTCGTTATTAGCGACGATGATTTGCACGTCATTAGCTGTAAGATAGAAGCAGAAATGAAAGCTGGTCTTGCCAGTGTAGACGGGTCTTCAATAGCCATGTTGCCCTCCTACGTACCAGCGTTGCCTGATGGATCTGGTCAGTCATTTATAAATGTGGATCGTTGATAAAAATGGCCTTACAAAAATGTCTTTCCTTCGTTAATTCTGGCAGGTTTGCATTAAGCAATGAGAAGTTTTCAAAATTCAATTCAACTTCTCGAAATAAGCTCCAGCAGATTTTTTATTTTGTCTTCAAAGAATCTCATGTGCTTTTGCTCTGAAGAAAAAACCTCGAAGGTGGGGTATGAAAAAAAGTTGGCGTGTCCAATGGATAACGAATCAACTTTCTTTTTTCCTTCTCATGTCGATTTGAAGCTTTGGCCATAAGAGACCACTAACGTAGAATGTCTGAATTATTGTTCAATCCTTCTCATTTTAGAGGAAGGCAAGTACGTGGCGATCGATCTTTCCGGTAAAAATTTACGTATAATGTTACTCACTCTCAATGGTACTGGACGTGAACCTGCTGCTGTTAACAACAATTATATTGTACCTAATCATGTGATGAAAGGCACTGGTGATCAAGTGAGTAATACTCTATTCAAATGCAGTAGAACAATTGAAGAATTCGAGGAAGCTGCTTTTTAAAGCGTAGCTGACCGTCATTAGTCCAAGGGGGTGGCAAAGGAGTAGTGTTTTTTCTAGTATTGTTTGCTGGGACGCTTTATGTACGCAATCTTTGGAACAGTGGTCTTATTATATTGCTGGGATGTACTCCATTTTTATCCCAAATTTAGGCTTGGACACGTTTAGTGATGGAAATCCATAGCCCGCAATTGTTTTGTTTTATGGGTTTGTTGTTAGTTTTAATTCACTTGTTCATGAGTTCTTTCTATTATTGCTACTTTACTCACCGTACGGTTGCATCATAAAAAGTATTCATTTCTGATCTTACCTGGTGCCCAATGCTGACGAAAGAACTTTGCATTTGGCCGCATCAAGAATTGGTCTGTATAAAAAATGTTTTGGTACTGTCATTTGATAACTAATTGGGATGTAATAAAGATGGGGAATTCGTATTCATGTCCTTCATTAAGACTCATGACCTATGATACTGTTGGGAAGAAAAATTTTTTTCCCCCCCCCAACAGAATTTTCAAGTGCTGATCTGTCGTTCTGCGCTGAGATTGTAATATTATGATAGTCAAAAGATCCTGCTTCCGAAATGAAACAAAAAAAATATAATGTGTTCTGTGAAATGGGAAAAGTGCTACCGTATAACTCCAGGCGTGATCCTTTTAACATTTTCCATTCCAACTTCCCAGTTCCATTCACAGAAAGTTTTCTGACTACTTCATGTAGTGGAATAACTTTATTTTTTTTGTTCACATTTTGCAATCAGCTATTCACATTTATTGTCAACTGTCTGCAACGTTTCCTGCAAGAGTTTGGTCTAGTCGAAGCCAACCTACCCATCGGTATGTTTAACTAACGAGTGTTTAGACATGCCAGTAGGCCTGGTTTAATCTTCTTTTCATTGTATTCTTTAAAACAAAAATCTCGTATACCAGGTTTTGTTTTTTCCTATCCATGTGAGCTTCTATCTATTCGTTCCGCTCGACTGCTGTGGTGGACAAAGGGATTTGATATCAAGGACTGCCTAAGGAAGGATGTTGTCCAACTGCTGGAGGAGGCTTTGGAAATGAACATGGCAAGTTCTATCAATTTTTGTACTAAATTTTCTGCAGCCACTTCCGTGTCTTGCTTCTTATGAACTTTCTTTTTTTCTGATTGTTCAAAAATTATCGCGCGCGATTTCGAAAGCAAACTTGCAAGTAGAAGAGGGGTAAGCCTAAGTCTTTTGTGGAACATCTGAGTAGTGATAACGAAAGATTGGATTTTTCGTCTGACAGTAGGAGCAGCCGCTCTTTTATGATGCAGCTGCCTGGCTCAATCATAAGCTGACTATCTGTAGTTCCGAGAATTCCTCTGGAAGTTCTGCGTTTCGTGAGCACAGCTCCAGTGCATTACTTTGCCAACTTTTTTTTTCAATATCGTTCCTGTTGCTTTGGGTTGAATTTTATCCTCTTCGTCCTCTTCGCTTGCTTGGTTTTGGACGATAATTGATTTTATAGCTATATATGTTTCCCATTTTCAGTCAACGAAAGCACAAATCAAAGCAGTTATGAATGATACAGTTGGGCAGCTTGCGGCAGCTGGTCACAAATATGGCCCTGAATGCACGATCGGTGTTGTTATAGGTTATGGGTGAGTTCTGATCTGAGTGCTGGCCTTAGTTATGTGAACAGTGAAAGTATATAATAATACAGTCTCCATTGAAGGTGCAATTCGTCCTATTTGGAGAAAACTTCCCGCATCACAAAATTCGACGCTAAAGCTAAAGGATACAAGCACCCCAATATGGTAGTCGTTACCGAATGGGAGGAGTTTGGCTCGAAGGTGGGTGTGCAATTTCAGGCACTCAATTCATGAATGGAAAGTTCTCCATACTTCGTCTGTAGGCTGTCTTCCTTCTTTGTCCTTTCTGCTTCTGCCCATAACTGCACTAGTTGGGTTTATTCAGCATGCTCCTAATACTGAGAAGGGTGCTCATGAGAATATTATTCTACTGGATAGAGACTGCTGACAACTATTAAAAGGGGCTTTTCAAAAATAGTTCTTTGCTTCTTCTTTCCTAGTTTTCGCGCTTTTCCTATATTTGACTTTTTTGTTACAAGTTTCATGTTCACTTTCTTGTAAAACTCATTCACTTCAGCCGTACATAATTGTAAAGTCCCTGTTGCTTGATCATGTTAGTGCGAGCTACTTCGAACCGTCAACGTGATATCGTTGTTTACTGTGTCGTTCGCCCAGTCGATGTACCTTGAACTAGCACTTCACGTTGTGATGATAACCACAGCCAAGAAAGGGGAGCAAATTTTGTCGGCAAATGGGACGCAGCGAACTGCACTGTTAACAGCTATAAAATCTATCGAACAAACTGACGTCTAGTAAAATTGGAAGTTATATGTTCAATCTGGTGCGCCACTCTTCTCCCAATACTAAGGCAGGTCGGCCTCACTAATGTGCTATGGGCCACATCGTGTGACAATTGTTACGAATCGGTGTACAACAGAACAGCGTCCAATGTCTTAAGCAGCCACTAAAACCTCTGAATGTGAAAAACAAAAAA